TCGTTTCAGAACTTTATAGAACTTATCAAGATTATTCTTGTGGCGTTCTAACCTGACTTATCATTCTCGTTCTTAATCGCTCGAGGGTGTGGCGTCAACCAACTTTATACCTCTGGTTCTTGTTGCGTCATAGACAACAGGTCAAGGTTTTTACCTTTGGTTCTTGTTGCGACATAAACAATGGGTCAAGGTCCTATTATAAACCTGATTTAGCTTTCCTGGAGTTTAGAAATCCCTTGTCGTGCTGTGGGTCTCATTGTTCTCTTTGGGGTTCTCATCAAGAATAATGTTGAGTACTGCTTTTGACGATGTTGACTCCATTGTAGCAATCAATAGAAAATAACGCCTGTACATCTGTCGTGGGAAATGAGTGTTGTGGGCCCTTGCTGATGTGGATCCACACACGTCATTGGTTTTGCAACCATACAAATCCATCCCTCAACATTAGCCCCCCAAGTGGACGAAGTTGTGACAGCAAGTTTGGCCGCTTGGCGTTGAGGGAGGCAGATTACCGTGGCATTCTCCATATGACCACGAGCATGTTTGAATGATATAGACATCAAATAATCAATGTGGCCCCCCTTGTCAAAGCAAATGTGATTTGAGGGACTTAGGATTGCCAGAACTTGGCTCTAGCCAGGTAAGCTATTGATGACAAAATAACTTCAACAAAGGTCGAGTCATGTTAAGCTTGACCATGTAAGGCAGCAACGAGCATAGGTGAGTCCACTATGACCTTGGCTACCATTGATGAGTAAGGCATAGGCCTCAATACTGTTGACGGGGTCTTAATGCGGACTTAATCCAAGCAAGGCCGAAGTAAAACTGTGGTGGTAGAGATTCCGACCGTTGTAGATTTATGAGTTTAGTGAACAAGCTTGCAGCCGTATCCACGCCAGGATTCTCGTACGGGCTGCACTGTCTTTCTTCTCAAAAAATTAATATGCTTTGAGTAGTCACTGTAGACTTTTTTTTTCAAAAAAAATACTGTTCACTACAGTTTAAATATGAAAGGAAGTCCAAAACTATTTCCCAGGGAAGTTTTCAGCAGTTAAAAAGAAAAAGTAACTCGCTTTTTTTAAAAGATAAAGAAACTGAACCTTTCCCAAAAATCCCGTTATGATGGTGCATACCAATGGGAGATTTTAAAGGAGATTGTATACATGCATATGCATAAAGACAATGTGCACCTTACTTGCCGTTCCCCTATTAATCGTTGACCATGTTGATGAGCGACAGGTGGCGAAGTGGTTGGTAGTTGCACTTAATGTTGCCCTTAATTTCCCTTTCTGTCATTCTCCTCTTTCCTTAATGAGTCTTTCAGTTTTCCCTTTCTTCCTTTTCCACAAAATCGCCGAACTTTTCCCTTTCTTCTCTGCATCCCCGATTTTCATCATCTTTTTCCACAAAACTTCTGGGTTTCTTAACAAAGCGACCGGATTCTTTCCGAGAAAGTTAATCTAGTGCGCGAGTCCGACAAAATCCCTCGTCTAATCGTGGTAATGATAGATCCTTGTTTCTCTGCTTCTCTTTTTTTTTTTTTATGGTTGCATGCTGTGGATTTCTTATGCCTCCATTAATCTAAATCTTTGTCTTATCTCTTCCTTTCTTTCTATGGAAAGTCTTAGGAGATGGTTGATCCTTATTCGACCGATGATGTGCAGCTGTACCACGACCCATGGTACACTTTTCATGATGGCTTTCTAGAATTCAACACTTGGTCGACGAAGAGGGCGCTCGAGAAGCAAAAGGATCTGGTTTTACTTGAGGTTTTCAAAGGAAGTGACATCAATGAAGCATGGTTTCCTTTGCTGCGTGACGTAATGCGAGCAAGGCTTGAAAGACGAGACTTGCTACCAGTTCCAATTCACTTTGCCTTTCCGTCTAGCAAGATGGAAGATTGGTCAGGTTGGGTTAAGGAGATGCTTGTTGAGAATGGCTTTGTGGAGATATTACATGCTGTCAGGATTCTCAAGTCGGTAACTCTAAGTCAAACTCTGGAAATAGTGGTAATGTAGAGTGCCTCCGTCGTTTGGTGAGGAGGTGGTGCATGAGCACCCATACATTTATCATTACTGTTAGGGAGGTTACTATGACTCTGGAGGATGTGGCAAATCTGATGTTGCTGCCTATTGTTGGAGAAGAAGACCCACGGCACATAATGTTAACTCTGGAGGAGCCTGCCACGCTAGTGGCCTTGAAAAAGGTGATGAGGAGGAACACTAGTGCCTCTTCTCGCTCATGGAGGGGAGAATACAGCATTGATTTTCCAACTTGGATGTGGTATTTTCCGACGAGTGAAGGTAAAGATAGCCTGTATGTATGTGCAGCTTTCCTTACGGCTTGGTTGAGTAAGTTTGTCTTTGGGGGCTTCCCAAACCACGTGATTATGGCTGAGTGCATTCCTTTAGAAATTCAATTGGTTGAAGGTGTGAAGCTCCCTTTAGCCCTGTTGATGCTAGGTACGCTCTATCACATGCTTGATTTGCTCCACTTTGATGAGATTCTCGGTGCGAGCTATTACATCATTGAGTCACATGTATGTTTGTCTTTGTTGCAAATGTTCGCATGGGAGAGGTTTCGCCTTTATCATTCTGGCTGTGTTACCAGTGGGAAGGCTTTAAAGGAATATCCCATGGCGAAGTGTGGTTACACCAATGGAACAACTCCGTTAGCTTGCTCTTGGATAGGAAAAAGGAAAATAAAGGGATAGATAATCCCAGAAGTTGATGGCCTTCTAGACGACTATGGCGGCTTTAATTTCCATGCGTACAAGACAATGCCTAGAACATTTGCTCCACCCAAGGTGAGCCTCTTTGACAAGGCACTTCCAGCGATACCTGAGAGTCAGATTGTGGAGTTCACCATAGGGAACTCAAGTCATCTGGAAATGCTGGCGATGATCACACCGTCCATGCTGCCATGCATTACATTGCGGGGAACATGGAGTCTAGAGTGCTACTGCCCAGAGAAAGTTGCGACCCCGTTTGGTTATGATCAAGATGTACTGATGAGAACCCCAAAGAGAACAATGAGACCCACAGCACGACAAGGGATTTTTAAACTCAGGAAAGCTAAATCAGGTTTATAATAAGACCTTGACCCGTTGTTTATGTCGCAACAAGAACCAAAGGTAAAAACCTTGACCCGTTGTCTATGACGCAACAAGAACCAGAGGTATAAGGTTGGT